ATATAAGTCCCTTATCTGATATGTTATTACCGAATACTTTTTCCCAGTCAGTGGCTTCCCTTTTTACCCTACTGGAGAAGTTTTTGGATGTGCAACATTTCTTTTAATCACGTAAAACGGATTAATATTGATAGATATTTTTAGTCTTTTTTTACCCCTCATGCTGTACATGTAGATGCTGCTCTTTTCACTTGCCACAAGAATGTTTTCGTGTCACTGACATTTTTATAAACATTAAGTTTTTAATGACTGTGTATTATTTTATTAAATGGATATATTATAGTTTACTTAACTGTACTTCTATTGTTAGAATGTAGGCTATTTCAAATATTTCTCTATCAAAAAATGATACTTCATGAACATACCTATATGTAAATCCTTGTGCATATTTATGATTAATTCCTCAGGATAGATTTCTAGAAGAGGAACCATTGAGTAACAACATTTAGACTTCTTCCAAATTACCTTTCAAAATAGTTATGCTAATACACGTGCCTACTTCCTTTCACTCACACTAACATTGAGTATTATTATTTAAAATGATTTTTGCTAATTGTTGTTTTCATTGTTATGTGCTGTCAAGTAGCCTGAGACTCATAGTGACCCTATGTACAATAGCTCTGAAGCCAGCCCTGTTCTGAGCCAATCTCAATGACTCTGATACACCTACCTTCATTACTGTATCAATCCACATCATGCGGGGTCTTCCTCTCCTGTGCTGTCCCTCTATCCTTCCGAGCATGATGTCCTTCTCCAAGGGTCAGTCCCTTCTGGCGACATGCCCACAGTATGTGAGATGGAACTTCAAAATTTGCTAATTAGAGATATAAAAAAATTTAATTGTTTTAGTCAGTGTGTTTTGAGTTGTTTAGACAAAATCCCAACCTCAAGAAAGAAAGCAATTGGCTATTTTGCTGAAGGGTATCTTATTGGGCCCTGATCCTGACTGAAAGATATAAGGGGTCCATTCCTTTCAATAGGGAGTTCTGTGGCATAGTCTGTAGTAGGTTGTGCTGCTAATCCAAAAGTGATGACAGTTCGAATCCACCAGCTGCTGCAGGAGAAAGATAGGCAGTTTCTTCCAGTGTAATTTACAACCACCAAAACCCAGCTGGAGGCAATGGGTTTTTTCCATTTACTCCCACCAGTATTGACCATTATCATAGCCCATGACTGCATGTGTTTGATCCTCCCTTGCCCTGATCCTTTACAGTGTTCATTGTCTGTACATTTTATTTCTGCTCTTCCCATCCCCACCGTACTCCTCAGTTACTCTCCTATTTTCACAGTAGAAATCTTATGCAGTATTTGTCATTTTATGACTGAGTTATTTCACTTGATGTAATACACCCTAGATTCTCCCATGCTGAGTAGCATTTACATATGATTTTAAGTGTCAATGTTCTTTAGTGCTGTTTACTATTGTATGAATGTACTACAGTTTCTGTATTCTGTATTCATTTGTTTGTTGGGAGACTACAGACATTCTTCTTACAAAAAGGGACCAGTCTAGTGGTAAGAAGATGTGCTGCAATCCCAAAGGTGTGCAGTTCAAATCCACCAGCTGTTCCAAAGGAGAAGGATGGACAATTTCCTCCCATGTTATTTACTGCCTATGGAAACCCACTGAAGGGTCACCTATGGGTTTGTTCTAACTCAAAGCACACAAAACCCAACATGACTGTGTGCGGCTATTACCACTAGATGTGATAAATCCCTGTGTTGTCCCCAAACCTAGGAGTTGACAATGGTGAAGATATTCCTCGAGATCTCCTGGTTGGTATCTACCAACGTATCCAGGGTCGTGAACTGAGGACCAATGATGACCATGTGTCCCAGGTGCAGGCTGTGGAGCGCATGATTGTGGGCAAGAAACCAGTAAGTGCCTTCAGAACTTAACCAAAGAAACAGGATTCTAATCTGCCTCTGCCACTGTTTGGAAAGTCTTTGCACTTTTCTGGGTTCCCTTCACTTGTCAAATGGAGTGTATGATAATGCAAGGTTGTGGTGTCTATTAAGCGAGGTGCACTTAAGCATTTAGCACATTATGTTGCAAAGCGCATAGTTAGTGCAGTATAAATATCAGCATCCTCCCACGTCAGCTTTTGCTTGACCATCTCTAGTGAGGAGCCAAACTATAAAAAAAGCAAGAACACATGATAGTCATCCAGTGAGCAAAAATTTACAGATGCCTTTCTACTGAACTTGACATTTCACTACATACCAGACAGAAATGTGAATCTGGCATGGTGCCTGTCTTTAATAGTGCTTATAAACCAGTAGGGGTGTCAGACAAAATACATATAATAGCTCTGCCTTATATTTTAGTTAAAGAGAGCACAAAAGAGGGGTCATTTCTAGCATGAGGTAATCAGGAAACACTTACTGGAAAAGATAGTATTAGAACTGGACATTGAAGGGAAGGTGCAATGTGGCTACATAGAGATGGCCAAGAAAGGTATTCCAAACAAAGAGGACTACACTGGGACAAAGACAAGGCAGCAGAAACACAGACCTCAATATTTTATATTCTTATATCTAAGAGACAATAATATATATCAGAGATAAACTTCATTTTGCTGTTGAATGTCAAGATGGGCTAGCCTGCTAACATCTATTTCTTCATGCCTATATAGGTCCTGTCTCTCCCTCACCGACGACTGGTTTGCTGCTGCCAGCTCTATGAGGTGCCAGATCCAAACCGCCCCCAGAGGCTAGGTTTGCATCAGCGAGAGGTCTTCCTCTTCAATGATCTCCTCGTGGTAGGAGCACTGTGAGGGAGGAGAAGAAAAGGAGATGATAAGTTTGGACTCTGGGTCTAGTGTGAATCATGTTAACATTGGTGGGAGGAGGGATAGTGCATGAGGTTCTCTACATGTGATCTATGTGATCTTGGGCAAGACACAGACCTTCTCTACCCCTCCTCTTCCTCAAATATCCATTTGGAGGTAATGACAGCCACCCAGGGGAAAAAAATGTGAGAAGCAGGGACATTACATATTTACAATCTCAGAAGTGGTAGGAAATGTCCCTGTCCACATCAACAGGCCAAAGGGTTGGGTAGAAGGAGGTAAATATATGTGACCCATGTTTGTCTGAAACTTTTGAGCCATTAAGAAGCTTGAATGAGTCTTTAAAAAGCTCATCATCAGATGCCCCTCTCCAAGGGATAGGATATTTAGGAATCTGTAGGCTGGAAGGGAATATCTGGGTTGCCTGTTTAACTTCCTTTCCAGAGCAAGAATGAGCATCTTAGATAGTCTCTTGCTTATATGACTATGCAGATAGAAAGCTCCCTGTTTCCAAGGCAGCATGTTTCCTTATCATACATACATGCTAAAATTTGTCTCAGTGAGTTTAGAGAGAAAGTGCCTTGTCTCTACTCTAAAATGACTCTTCAGGATCTGAGGAGTAGCAATTCTGCCCCTTCTTGGTTTTCTCTCCTTTAGAGCAAGATTTCTCAATCTTGGCACTATTGATGCTGGGGACAACTGTTCTTGGGACCTGTGCATTGTAGGAGATTTATCAGCACCCTGTGTTTATCTATTAGATGCCATTTGCTGTTGTTATATACCCCTAAGTTGAAACCTATCTATAACTGACTCTCCTTCAGGTTTTCAGAGGCAGTAACTTGCACAGGAAGAGAATGCCCAATATTCTCCTGTGGAGTAGCTTGTGGGTTTGAACCTCAAACCTTTTCTTTGGCAGCACAATTCTTTACTAAGCCAGCAGAGTTTCCTTAGCTGCCAGTCGCACTCCAAAAGTCTCCAGGCATTGTTGAATGTTCCCTAAGAGGCAAAATCATGTCCTATTGAGAATCACCACTTTAGATAAGCACCTGTAAAACTCTCTCTGGGCCTCAATTTCCTCCTCTGTGAAACAGGACTAATTCCTACCTTATAAGGTTGTCATGAGGATTAAGTAAATGAGAAGTACCTGACTTACATAAATTCCTATTATTTGTTTAAACATCTACTGCATACTGACAGCTTTGTGCACTAGTGCTAGGTACTGAGTACACACAAATGAATCAGACACAGATTCTGTTTTCAAGGAGCTAACAGTCCAAAGGATCTAAAAAAATGTCCTGTATACTGTAACCATCCTGAATTAAAATATCTTTGCTTTTAAGAACTACTTGCAAACTATTTGCAATCTATGTTAGTTGATTCCAGGGTTCTGAAGTATTTGATGACGACCTTAGGTTTTTGAGAATAAGATTAGCTGTTCAGCAGAGACTTACCTTTATGTGCTAGATCCACTAAGGGTAGGTGAAGGACATTAAAACTAGATCCCTGTCTTTACACTCTCATTGCAGCAGGAGGCAATCATATCTCAAAGTGCTACCATATATCTGCTCTGGAAACTCAAACAAAAAGAAAAAAAATGAATAAAACAAAACACCATCAGTGTGAGGTGTTAGTGCAGGCTTCCTAGAAAGAGCAGTGTTCAGTTAATTCTTGTAAAAATCTTAAATACCTGTTGTGCATCATTCTTACATCAAACTTAAATTTTTCTCCTATCTTCCCCAGCCTGCTCCATAAGCTTCAGTTCTGCCCAACTTGTGAATATGTGTGTTCATGTGTCCATTAATGGGGGTGAGAGAGGAGGGAGGATATTGAAATTAGTTAACATGTAAGAATTTCCCACCCCAAACCCTTGTCTTTTCCCTATCCCTCCCAAAGGTCACCAAAATTTTCCAGAAGAAGAAGATCTTGGTGACATACAGCTTTCGTCAGTCCTTTCCCCTCGTGGAAATGCACATGCAGCTCTTCCAGAATTCATGTGAGTCCCTTCTTGAATCCTTGCCACCCTAAAGTTTATGTAATGGCCCCCATGCTCATCCTTTATCCATATCAGCCTCCCATGGCTGCTCCTTTTATCCATTCCAGCCTCTAGCTTTTAGAGTCTTTTACAACCGGGATAGGGAGTCCCTGGGTGGCACAAATTGTTAAGTGCTGGGCTACTAACCCATCCAGAGGTACCTAGGAAGAAAGTCCTAGTAATCTTCTTCTGAAAAGTCATAACCTTGAAAGCCCTCTGAAATAGTTCTGCTCTGCACACATGAGGTCACCTTAGTCAGTTCACCTTAGTCACTGAATCAACTTAGTCAGAACTAGTAGTGGTACTAGTAAGGTTTCCAAAGCACTTCCTTTGTCCTAGGATGAAGGGCAGGCCAGAGCAGAGAATTGCTTGGGTCTAACCTCTGAGTCTTGTGGAGAACCCGAGTGCATGTGTTCTCTAGAGGGTGGAGAAACTAAAGATATCACGCTATGACTTGGAGAACTGAGCCAGGAAAAGCTTTTTTGGAGGAGGGGGTGACATTTTGGGCAGCAAACACAATATCAGCATAGGCAGAGATGTAAGGGTCAGGGTTTCTAGCAAACAGCATAGAATTCAGTTAGGCTTTACAACATAGAGTAGGGACAAAGAGGAATCATTGAAATTTCTTGAGCAGAAAAGATACATGATCAGTATTGGACATCAGAGAAATAGTGGGTTACCTAATAAGTCACTCAGTATTCACTTATGAGTTGCTTCAATCCTGACAGAGGTTTCCAACCTATCCTGCTACTTCCTTTCTCCACAGATTATCAGTTTGGGATCAAGTTACTGTCTGCAGTACCTGGTGGGGAGCGAAAGGTTCTCATCATCTTCAATGCTCCTAGCCTGCAGGACCGGCTGCGTTTCACATCTGACCTACGAGAGTCCATTGCTGAGGTGCAGGAGATGGAGAAGTATCGTGTAGAGTGTGAGTAGCCCAGCCACACCTCCTTTCCCCTTTCTTAATAATATTGCTCCACAGAAACCAAGAAGCCTGCCTTTGAGGATCTCAGAGTTGAAAGTTAGCTTGTACAACCTTCTTACATTCGTTCTAGCTGCTACTTGAATACTTTTAATAACAAAGGATTTATTATTTCTCAACCTCAGTTTATTATTTCATGCCCTAATTATGAGCCAGTTCTTTCATTGAAAGATAGCAGGGAGAAGAATCAGAGTATTGGAGATTGAACTCTATTTTCAGATCCCAGATACACTATCTGAGTAAACTCAGAGAAGCTACTTAACTCTCTGAGCCCCGGTTACTTCATATATAAAACAGGAATTGTAAAATCTTTTTCTCAAAAAAAGTACTCTTTTAAAAAATATTTTATTGATTTTCATATAATAATACCTTTATTGTATGTTTCATCCATATTAATTGTGTTTTATACAATCTTTCATTTACATTTTGTTTCATACAATCATTCCTATACATTCTATTTTACATTCTTTTTTATACTAGTTTATTTACAAAATTCAAATACATAGTTTTTCATACCAATTCCTTCCCATTTCCCTCACTCCCAAACCCATCAAATTGTGCAACCTCATGATTGATCCTCCCCACCTGCACATTCTCACCCCTCTGCTTCCACTCTCCACCCCCTTGGATCCACATACTCATTCTACAATAATGGTTTTATACAGTATTTGTTTTTATGGGACTGAGTTAGTTCACTCTGCATAATGTTCTCCAGTCCCTCCCAAGTTAGGTAGTAATTTACAAAATCATTGCACCTGCATGCTGCATAGTAGTCCATTGTGTGAATTTACCATAATTTCTACAACCACTGTGGAAGGCAGTTTGGTGCTTCCTCAGAAAGCTGAACATAGAAATTCCATATGACCCAGATATTCCAGTGCTTGGAATACACCCCAAGAAAATGAGAACTGAGGCACAAATAGAGACTTGTATACCAGTGTTCATAATAGACTTATTCATCCTCACAAGAATAAGGAAACAATCCAGATGTCCAACCCAAAAGTACTCTTGACCTCTTTAGAGAGATGGGATTATAAAGCCAGAGAGTACAAACTCCAGAGTCAGACAAACCTGTTTCCAGAATGTCAACTCCACCTTGTTCAGCTGTATGACACTAAGCAAGCTCTATTTCTCTGATTCTGTTTCTTCCTTTGAAAAATGATAATGGTTGCCTCAAAACTATTGTGAGACTTGAGAGAGATGAAGTATGTATATAGCACCCAGCTTACTGCCAACACACAATAGAGAATTCAATCCCTACCAATTTCCTGCTCCTTTTCTTCCAGGAGTCTCGCTGCTCTAGAGCAAGGTATTGGAAAACTGAGTGTGCTCTAGAAAGACTGCTTTTTTGCCATAGGCCACAGGGGCCTCTCTGCCCCTCCAGTGAACCATCTTCTGGGAAGCTCTTTGTTAAAAGATAAGGGCGTTGCAACAATGAATGACTGGAAACCCTTAGTCTCTGTAAACTTTCATTAAAATTAATTTTAAAAAGAAAACAAAGGGAAGTGTTAATAGCTAACAGCACTAATACCATGTTATCTCTCTTGTAGCTGTATTTTCTTTCCAGTAATTAAACCTGTTTTAATGATTTTTTTAAAAAAGAATACAAATAAAATGAACTTGTTGACAGTTTTTTAAAAAAGACAAGGACGTTTGGGGAAATGAGGCTGAGAAAGGGCAAAGGAGGGCAGAAATGAGGATGAAAGGAAAGGTGAAGAAGCAGGAAGAATATGAATAGAAGGGGTAAAAGGAAGATTGAATAAGAGGATATGGTGTGAGAGCCTCAGAGGCTTGTGGAAAAACATTTGTTGCATTTCAGAAGGCCTAGGAAACAGAGGGAATGAAGAGTAAGGTCTCTGGAGTGCTAGGGTCAGGTGAAGTCTCATTCCTGTTTCTGACCTTTGCTCTCTGTCTTCCTCACTGCCACCCAGCGGAGCTAGAGAAGCAGAAAGGTATGATGAGGCCTAATGCTTCACAGCCTGGAGGGGCTAAAGACTCAATGAATGGGACACTGGTTCGCAGTAGCCTGGAGGACACTTATGGGGCAGGCGATGGGCTCAAACGGGGTGCCCTCAGCAGTTCTCTGCGAGATCTCTCTGAGGCAGGTAAGTTTTCTAGACCCCTGACCAAGATGGGAAGATGTGGGACTGGGCATCCTCTTGCCTCCTATCATTGACCACCAGCCTTCCCTCAACCTGGTAGGCATAGATACCCTGCCTTCATCCAGAATCCTGGGTACTGTGCCACAGGGGCCTGGTAGCCAGGTCAGAACAGGTGGAGCCCAGGGTTTGGGTCAAAGATTGTGAAGTGGGGCCACAGTCTTAGCCCCTCTCTCTTGCTGCTCCTCCTCTTTTACCTCTTCTCTCTCTCCTGTACCACCTCTTCTCCATCTTTTCCTCCTTTCTCCTTCTTCTCCCCATCTCCCCCTCTTCAATGGGGGAAAGGGATAATGGGGTATCTATCCCTGGGAGGGACCCAGGCCTGGTGCCAGCTCTGGAGCCCAGCAGGGCAGGAAGGGAGGGTTGCTGCTCTGACGCTGGGCTCCTTGCTTGTGGGTGCAGGGAAGCGGGGGCGGCGTAACAGCGTGGGATCGCTGGACAGCACCATCGAAGTAAGTGCCAGCTCTTGCCCTACTCGTCCTCTGCATGAGCCCTGCCCCAGCTGTGGATCCCTAGAGGAAGAGGGGACCTGTTGCTTCCTTCCCCCTTCCATGCTGGGAACTGTGTGGCTGCCTCTCCCAGCCAACCATTCTTTCCATCTGTCCTCAACTCTGTCCTTACTCTGCCTGTCTCTTGGTCTGTCTTCCACTCTCCCATGCCCCCTCTTACCCAAGAAAAGACTCTGAGTAGTGATGCTCTTGGAGTTGGGCCATAAAAAGTTCTTACCTTCTAATATTGCTCTTTGACCCTGAGCAAGCCATTCTGCCTCTCTGGGCCTAACATTTTCCCTGCCTGCATTATGAGGGTAATAAGGAGGTAATAATACTAATTCTTCCTCTCCCGGATGAGGCTCAGATAGGATAGTGAATGTGACAGTAGAGCTTTGCAAGGTGGGAAGCCCCATATACAAGTATAGAACTTATTATGATTAAAAAGTTCTGTCTCCCTAGCTCCAACCCTCAGGGATGGGGTGGAGTTTAGGGTTGGGGGTTTAGGACATCTAGGCTGGACTGACTTCTACCCCTCCCCCCTTCCAGGGGTCTGTTATTAGCAGTCCACGCCCTCACCAGAGGATGCCACCTCCACCCCCACCCCCGCCGCCAGAGGAGTACAAGAGCCAGAGGCCCGTCTCCAACTCCTCATCCTTCCTGGGCTCCCTATTTGGAAGCAAGCGGGGCAAGGGGCCCTTCCAGATGCCACCACCGCCAACAGGCCAGCCCTCTGCCTCCTCTTCATCTGCTTCTTCCACCCACCACCACCACCACCACCATCACCATGGTCATAGCCATGGTGGCCTGGGGGTGCTTCCTGATGGGCAGTCCAAGCTCCAGGCCCTGCATGCCCAATATTGCCAAGGACCAGGCCCTGCCCCACCCCCTTACCTCCCACCCCAGCAGCCCCCTCTACCCCCACCTCCTCAGCAACCTCCACCCCTACCCCAGTTGAGCTCCATTCCACCACCTCCTGCTTCAGCCCCACCTGTGGGGCCACATCGCCACTTCCATGCACATGGTCCAGTCCCAGGCCCCCAGCACTACACCTTGGGCCGGCCAGGCAGGGCTCCCAGACGAGGGACTGGAGGACACCCTCAGTTTGTTCCACATGGCCGCCACCCTCTACACCAGCCCACATCCCCATTGCCCCTGTACAGTCCTGCCCCTCAGCACCCTCCAGCCCACAAACAGGGCCCCAAGCACTTCATCTTCACTCACCACCCACAGATGATGCCAACAGCTGGGGCAGCTGGAGGACCTGGATCTCGTCCACCAGGAGGCTCTTACTCTCACCCTCATCACCCCCAGTCACCGTTGTCTCCACACTCACCCATCCCACCCCACCCCTCTTACCCACCTCTGCCCCCACCCTCACCCCACACCCCACACTCACCCTTGCCACCCACCTCCCCCCATGGACCACTGCACGCCTCTGGGCCCCCTGGTACAGCCAACCCACCCACTGCGAACCCCAAGGCCAAACCAAGTCGGATCAGCACAGTGGTCTAATGAATAGATAGAGAGAGCTGGGACCCAGGAGGGCCTGGGGAAAAACCATAGAGGAGGGTTCTTATCTTGTTTCCTCAGTTTTCCCAAAATATACATACACATATAGAATTGTCTTCCTTTCCTTTTCCTCCCTGTCTCGGAACACTCTTCCTTTCATCCCCACAGTATAGTCATCATGGAGTTTCTTCCAGATTTGAGGACCCACTGCTACTTAAAACCTGGACCCAGGGCCAACTAGTTCTGGGGAGTAGTGAGGATCTTCCAGAGATCTTCTCTCTCCTTTTCTTCTCTTCCCCTTTTCTCTAGAGGTTTGACTGGGAGATCTCACACATCCAGGGCCAATACAAATTCCCTTTCAGCTCTGGCTGACATGTGAGGCTAGGAGAGAGCTCTGTACAGCTGTGGACTTGGTCCTCTCTCTGACCTCAGTGCCTGGCCACACATTTTCATGTGTCTTTTTGCCTGTTGGAGGACATACACTGCCAATGCACTGATAAGTGGAACTCTGCTTATGCTGGCCCTCAGATGGGGCAATGCCTTCTCACTGGTAGGCCCTAGCCCCATCCTCTTCAGCTTCAGAATCTTGCCTCTCCCCATAATGTTTTTATCCTGATCTACATCCAGACAGGTTGGGGGGGCAGGTGAGAAGGGCACTGCCTTCCCTCACCCATACTGCATGCCCCTCATCCCTTACATCTACCCTGCCTACAACTGAAGACAATGCACTTTATAAATACTGCCCACATACACCTCGCTGGGGCAGGATACCCAGCATCAGCCCTGGGGAGAGAGGCTCCTAGAGGGTCATTATGAACTCAAGATGTCCTTCCTGAGGCAGAGATTGAAGCCATCAGAGCTGAGGCTGAGAGCCAAGATGTCAGAATCTTTCTGTTCATCAAAATCTCTGCTGCCTCTCCAGCCCTGTTTATTTATTATAAATATATTTTTACAAGTCCAAGCTGCTCTTCTTACCCTGCATATTCAGCCCCTTCTCAGCTCCTGCTTACTTCTGCCCTCTCTAACATGAGCTGCAGTACATACATACAGGCAGACATGACTATATGAAGGGCCAGCAACTCCAGGGCCTGGGAGCAAGGGAGGGTGGCAGTGGGAGGGACTATATGGAGAGGAGCTGGGTTTCAGACATTGTCTTTTTTTCCTCTTTGTATATAAGAATGTATATTTGATGCCTCATAAAAGACCTTGTGCCCACCTCCCGCCTCTGCCTCCTACTTGTGTCCCCTTCCCCCACTGTAGAGTCCTAGGAAAAAGAAGTCTTAACTCAAGAAAGTGTTGTGCTAATGGTAGAAGTTCAGGTAACTGAGTAAGACAAAAGTATTTTGGTTGAGTTGAAAGTGGAGGTGAGGGATTTTTTCACTATTTCACTTCATAAAGAGTTTGCATGACAGTGACAAAGTATGGACTTTGGAGTTGATCCAATTAAAATCCTGGGTTTTCCACTCTCTAGGGTGATTTTAATCTGTGGCCCTCAGGCCTGGTTTTAATTGTTTTTGGTCAAACTTTCTTCTAAGTGGTATAGCACTGGTCTGTCCATTTGCTGTACAGAGGTAACTCATGGTTGCTGTGATGCTAAACACTGTGACACTGATGTGTGATAATGGTTACCCATGGTGAACAGTGTTTTGTGGAGCTCCCCAAATAAAACAAGCTTGGAAGCAGGAGTGGCATCCACTTCAGAAAAGGATTGCCTCATGAAATTCTGTGAACTTGGAGAAACAATGAAAGTTATACAAGTGTTCAGGTCTTTTGTTCATAGAGTCGTCTATGACTCAACAGCACTTAACAACAACAACAACAGGAATATTAATTGAGTCACAGTTTCCTCAATTTAAAACTGAAGATGATAATCCTCTGCCACATGGTACCATGTAGCTCCATGGAGTAATGAAAGTGAGTCAGCCTACTGAGTAGGTGCTCAACAAGTTAGTTCCTTTATCTTCCTATGATAAGTTCAGTGCTTTATTCTACTCTATCCTCACCCTTCATGTTTCTGGCCTTGCTTTTCCCTCCACAATTTTGGAATTGAGGGAGCAAGGATGGCTTGATTCAGGAAGGCACAGGTCTAGAAATAATATAAGGCTCTACAAATATACAATATGATATATATATCTCAACTTCTTTTTGTTTACAGAAGATGAGAAAAGGCCAGAGAAGATAAAGGCCTTTTCCTAAAGCCACAAAGCAAGTCAGCAGGAATAGGATTTGTTGACCTCTAGCCCATGATTCTTTTCAACTTCAACCTCCCCTAAATTGCCTCCCTGTGAAATGTACATATTTCTAGCACCATTGTTGTCATTACTGACAGCCATTGCTGTCAGTATAGCACAGGAGAGCAAAGCAATATCTCTAGGTTAAGGTCATCAGGGTTCTCAGAAACAGCACTCAGCAAATATTTTTACTGCCTTCCTAGAATCTGGAGTGATCTTGAAGACACAATCATTTTAACGGCCCTATGCTTTAGCAACTCTGACGAATGTGCTTTCTTACTCATGTGCACATTAAAACACAATCCCAGAATGGTAGCTAGCAAAAATAGCAGCTGGGACCATCAAAGTATTTAGTGCCTCCTCAAAAGCCAGAACTTAGGCACAAAGAACCTGGAATCAATCCTGACTAGTGTATCTGTCTTCCTTGATAGTAACCTGATAGTAACTCTCTCTTTTAACCTCATTTTGACACTGGATTTATCTTCTCAAAGCTCAGTTTTCAGCAGTCAAATCCTAAACCAGTGACTTGACTTTGACACCTAGCCCTTCAGAGCCTGGCCTGTGTAAAAACAGTATAATATCTGGTAGCGCAGTTTTAACAAATGCTTGTGAAGTGTTTACCCCTGTCAGACACACAGTAAGCTATTATTGGCAACATACAGAAACGTAAACTCTTTGTTGGGACTTTGAAGGCGCCCCATCTATGTCCCAAGCCTTTCTCTGTAGTCCTCTGGTTCTTTGCCTATACTTTGCCAATACTTTCCCTAAAGATGCCTTATTTTCCAAACTGATTATTATTACCTGCATTTTTCTCCCTGCCATACTTCTTCCAATATCTTTGATAAATAGTTTCCATTCTTGCAAGATGAATTAAAAGACTTGTTCTTTACCCTGTTCTATTCATCAATCAATTCTTGAAAATCCTTCATTGCATTGCTTATCATCCTTACCAGGCCACAAATGCCTTGAGAGTGACATGGTCTGAACAGTGCAGGAGAGGAAGACCCCAGATAACATAGATTGACACAGTAACTTGGGTAATGGGGGAAGGTATGTCACAGTCAGTGAGACTGGCTCAAGATTGGGCAGGGTTCAGAGCTATGTGTCATAGATGACTCAATGGCACATAACAACAATTCAGTACTGTCTAGGGAGCTCTGGTGGCATAGTCCCTAGGGAGTTGCTCTACTAATCCAGAAGTGGTGTCTCTGTTCCAGTTCAAATCCACCAGTGGCTCCACAAGAGAAAGATGGGAAATCCTCTCCAAAGCAATTTACAGCCTCCAAAAACCCACTGGAGGGTCAGCTATGTGTCAGTTGTGACTCATTGTGCTCATACAATGCCTAGTGCAGCACAGATGCCACTAAGATTTTGTTGGCTGAATAACTGAATCATTCCTTCTAAGCTAATCTTAAAGTAAGGTATCTTTGTGTTGGTTGATGCTGTATACCAGCTTTAGGGCCCCTCTGGAACCTCTTATGCTTAGACTGTTAAAAGAAAAAACAAATATGTCTTGGAGAGTGTGGCCAGGGTGTTCTTTGGAAGCAAAGATAGTGAAACTCCATCTATCATATTTTGGGCAACTTGTTAGGAGGAGCTGTCATTGGAGAGGGACATTATGCTTGGAAAGGTGGAGGATCAGCACAAGAGAGGAAGAACCTCAACAAGGTGGACTGACATGATGACTGTACAATGGGATCAAGAATATCAGAGATGATTAGGATGGCACAAGATAGGGAAAGTTTTGGATCTGTTGTTCGTAGTATGACGATGAGCACAGTCAACTTCATGGCACATAACATTTTTTCTCTTGAATATATTCCCAGTTCTAGGTTGTCCCTACCCTGTTATCACTGTTTCTTTGAGGGCTCATCATCCATATTGTGCAGGGTTAGTTAAATTCATCACCTTTTCATGTCTTTAAAAACCTGAGGACAAGCCCATTTGCTATCCTCATATCAAAGATTCTACTGTTAATGTGTCTGAGACAAAGACCATAGAATCTCATAGTTCTTGTCCTTGTCCTAGATTGGTGGTGTTTAATAGATCTTCCTTGAAATGTAAATGTTCCAATAAAATAGAGGAAGCTCTTATGGCCTAGTGTCAAGAAGCTGTGCTGCAATCCTGAAGGCATGCAGTGTGAGCCACCAGCCACTCTGCTTGGGGGAAGGATGGGCAGTCACCTCCTATGCAATTAACTGCCTCTGAACACATTCCAGAGGGTCAGCTATGGGTCAGTTCCGATTCTCTGGTACACAATAACAGCAACCATATATAGCTCTGGTGGTGTAGTCCATAGAGATTTGTCATGCTAATCCAAAGATGGAAACTTTCTAGCCATACATATCCATCAGTAGCTCCATGGGAGAAAGATAGACAGTCTTCTTTTGCACAATTTATAGGCTCCAAAAACCCACTGGAGTTGCAGTTATGAGTTAGTTCTTCTGACTTGATGATAATGAGATGAGAGTCACCCACATGTGGCTACTGAAAATTTGACATATGGCTAGTATGACTGATTTTTTATTTAAAAACCCCTTTTATTTAAATTAAAATAGAAACACATGGGTGTTCACTGATGTAATATGCCAGAGCGTCAACTACACCTTATAGTGACCTTATGAACTACAGATCTGAACACTACCCTATCCTATGCCATCCTCAAAATCTTTGATATACTTGAGCTATCATAATGGATAGTGCATAATAAGACCTTCAGGAGTGTACAACTGGTGAGAATAATGTCAGTACAATAAGTACAGGCCCACAAGG